TAGCACCTTGAACAACTGGGATTCTTATCATAAAATTCATAACTGTCCAATAAGAACATACATTCTTCCATATATGTTGCTGCTTCTCCACAGGCAGAATACATGGATCCAGGAATCAAGGGTTAAAGATAGAAATGAATTGTCTCTAAATAGCCACTTCCATGATGTCTACTTCCATTTCTGCAACTTTGACTCCTTCAGCTCTGTCTTAGTTCCCAACAGAGAAATGCTTCTGCCCTGAAACACAACAGTACCCTTGAATAAAAAATTGAGACATTACCTTGCTGTGGATATCACTCTATATAAATAAAACACTGATGGCCAGTGACCAGACAGGAAGTATAGGCAGGACAAGGAGAGAGGAGAATTGGGGAAACAGGAAGAAGGAGGGGGAGACACTGCAGCCACCGCCAGGACAAACAGCATGTAAAGACGCCGGTAAGCCACGAGCCACATGGCAAGGTATAGATTTATAGAAATGGGTTAATTTAAGATATAAGAACAGTTAGCAAGAAGCCTGCCACGGCCATACAGTTTATAAGTAATATAAGCATCTGAGTGATTATTTTATACGTGGATTGTGGGACTGTGGGTCTTGGTGGAACCTGGAGAGAAGCTCTCCAGCAATACTACCTAGCCACTTTGGGCTTGTTAGGCCCTGACCAGTAGCCAAGAAGAAAATGGGGCAATTGATCCTAATTATAATATGGGAATTGGATTTCTTTTCTTTTTTTTAAAGATTTATTTATTTATTATGTCCACAGAAGAGGGTGCCAGATCTTATTACAGATGGCTGTGAGCCACCATGTGGTTGCTGGGAATTGAATTCAGGACCTCTGGAAGAGCAGTCGGTGCTCTTAACCTCTGAGCCATCTCTCCAGCCCTGGATTTCTTTTTTAAAAAGTATGTGTATGTGTGTGTGTGTGTGTGTGTGTGCATGTGTTGTGGTGTGTGTGTGTGTGTGTGTGTGTGTGTGTGTGTGTGTGTGTGTGTGTGTGCAGGCACCTGCTGAGACCAGAAGAGGGCCTTGGATCCCCTGGAGGTGCATTTACAGGTGATTGTGAGCTGTCCAATTTGGGTGCTACAAACAGAACTCGAGGTCTCAGAGGAACAACAGGGGCTCTTAATGGCTGGATCATCTCTCTGGCCTCTGAATTTTTGTTACCTGATGGGGACCAGTACCCAAGTTTCTCTGGAATCAAAGACTCTCTGGTCTTCAGCATGCTGTCATAGTCTCTGTGACTTCATGTGTCCATCCCCCCTGTGTGTCTGGGAGATGCTATTTTCTCGAGTCATCCACCCGCTCTGGCTTCTTACCTTTGGCCTCATGACTTCCCACAGAAACCAGCACAGGAACAGCTGTGCAATTTCCTTCTTTTAAACATGTTCGTTTACCTTATGTGAACCTGGGAGTGGGGAGTGCCACACCATGCATGGGAGGTTGGAGGGTCAATCACAGGAGTCGGTTCTCCCCTTTACACCATTACAGTCTCAGGAGTTGAACTCACAGTCATCCTGAGCCAGAGTGCCTACACTTGGTGAGCCGGCTTGTTGGCCCCTCTTCTAACTTCTTTTTCTTTTTTTTTTCCTTTGGTTTCTCTGTGTAGTTTTGGTGCCTGTCCTGGAGCTCACTTTGTAGACCAGGCTGACCTCGAACTCACAGAGATCTGTTTGGCTCTGCCTCCCGAGTGCTGGGATTAAAGGCGAGTGCCTCCACCGCCCGGCTCCTCTTCTAATTTCTTATGTATATTCAGAAGAAAAAAAACTCTCCTAATTCAAGTTCTTCTTCTCCTTCTCCTCCTCCTTCTTGTGTATGTGATGTCTATGGATGTGTATATATAAAGCAACAAACCCACGCGAGTCTGTTCAAGAAGTATTAGGGAAATTTATTAAGGTAAATTGAGGAAACACACTCACGAATACAGAACGGAGTAGACAGCCGAAGTCATCCTCTGATCTGACCGGGAGCAAATCCACCTCACAGGCAGGAGCAGGGAGAAGAGGCATGTGATCCTTCTCCAACTCCTCATAAGAGGTCACTTACAATGCAGGAAGCACCACCTCCTTCGGGCCCTATAGCCCAAGGTCATGGGAGGAGCAAATACCAAATATATGTTTGTAGCTAGAGTTTTCCTGCCTTGCCCACAGTCAGGACAAATCTCTGTCACCTGCCAGTCCCACAGCTGCTCAGACCCAACCAAGTAAACACAGAGACTTATATTGCTTACAAACTGTATGGCCATGGCAGGCTTCTTGCTGTTTTTATAGCTTAAATTAATCCATTTCCATAAATCTATACCTTGCCACATGGCTTGTGGCTTACCGGAGACTTCACATGGTGCTTGTCATGGCGGCGGCTGGCAGTGTCTCCTTCTGCCTTCCTGTTCTTTCTTTTGTCCTCTCTGTTAGTCCTGCCTATACTTCCTTCCTGCCTAGCCACTGGCCAATCAGTGTTTTATTTATTGATCAATCAGAGCAACAGATTTGACATACAGAACATCCCACAGCATATGTTTGCAAGTGTGTGTTTACTATGAAGGGGCCCCAATAGCTTGACCACACAGCTGCCATGACAGGCTTAGGGGCCCAGACACAGCTTCTGTGACAGGCTTACTGGCAGGCAACACCCAGATCCAGGAAAAGCCTTAAGCTAACACCACCCAGGGATCCACCAAACATTCTAACCATTAGATAAGGTGGCCAGATGTCCTTGAGTCTAGCACACATCTTTTTTTGTTTTACAGGTACCCCTAGACAGTTGTCAGCCAATCAGGGTCCTGGACCCTGGAAATCCCCTCCCCCCAACCTCTGCTATGATAAAAACTCTGCCCCACCTGAGCTCAGGGCCCTCTGCTCTCACCGCTGTGTTGGACAGACAGAGGGACCGAGCTCCAGAGCTTGAAATAAAGGCTCTCTGCTTTTACATGCGGGATTCGGTCTCCGTGGTGGTCTTTTGGGGGTCCCCGAGATCTGGGCATAACATTACCTATGGATGGATACTCTAATTTACTAATAAGTGTAAGTTTCCTCTACTTACAATGGTCCTCCCAGGGCTGACAAGATGGCTGAGCTGGTAAGGGCACTTGCCACACACCCGATGACCTGAATTAGACCCCTAGGACTCACAACGTGGAAGGAGAGAACTGACTCCCACAAGGTGCTTACCTCCAAGTTGTCTGTCTCGCTCTCTCTCACACACACACACACACACACACACACACACACAATAAATTGATAAATGTAAAAAGAATGCTCCTCCCTAAATAACTAAAATTGTTCCTCCTTCATCTCACTTAAATCTTTATTTTTTTTAAAGATTTATTTATTTATTATGTATACAGTGTTCTGTCTGCACACACCCCTGCAGGCCAGAAGAGGGCACCAGATCTCACTATAGATGGTTGTGAGCCACCATGTGGTTGCTGGGAATTGAACTCAGGACCTTTGGAAGAACAGTCAGTGCTCTTAACCTCTGAGCCATCTCTCCAGCCCCTGTTTTCTTAAATTTTATTTTATTTTATGTGTATGAGTGCTTTGTTTGTCTATGCACCAGGTGCATGCCTGGTACCCTTGGAGGCCAGAAGAGGGCGGTGTCAGATGTTCTGGGACTGGAGTTACAGAGAGTTGTGAGCTAACATGTGGATGCTAGGAATGGAGCCCTAATCCAAAGAACAATCTATCAGTGCTTTTAACTGCTGACTGCTGAGCCATCTCTCCAGCCACCAGCCCCACATTTCCCTCAACATCTTCCCCCTATAACATACACACAAAGTCTCACAGTGTAGTGCTGGCTGGCCGGAAACTCATAGAGATCCATCTGTCTCTGCCTCCCTAGTGCTGGGATTAACGTGAGCTAAACATTTTTTTGTTATTTTGCCTTTTTTTCCCCCAGAGCTGAGGACCGAACCCAGGGCCTTGCGCTTGCTAGGCAAGCGCTCTACCACTGAGCTAAATCCCCAACCCCAACATTTTTTAATATTGGGAATTATTTGAACACACTTATTAACTTTGGGAGAAAGGCCACTGACATACAACGTATTAACATAGAAGAGGAAGCAGGGGCAGGTGACTAATGGGACAGGCCAATGAAAAGATCAAATGGGAAGCTTCTTTGATGAGATGGTATTTAGAGAAGAATTTTGCAGTGGGGAGACCTGAAATTCAGGCAGGTCTCAACCACATGATCCTTGAGAAATGGCAGGGAGGTCAAGGCTGAGGACAACAGCTTGGAAGTGTACTTGATCTAGAAATGTTACTTTTTTTTTTTTTTTTTTTTTTTGAGACAGGCTTTCTCTGTGTAGCCATAGGCTGTCCTGGAACTCACTCTGTAGACCAGGCTGGCCTCAACTCACAGAGATCCACCTGCCTCTGCCTCCCCAAATGCTGGGATTAAAGGTGTGCAAAATCACCTGAGGCTGGTTTTGAACTCCTGATCCTCATGGCTCCAGTTCCTAAATCCTGAGATTTCAAGTGTTTACTATCACATACTGTCACACTCACTGAAAACTTGTTTTTTAATGTTAGTTCAGTCCAAGGAGATGTTTTTATCAATCTCCACTTTGCAATAGCGTTCCACTTTAAGATGTGCCAGGTCAATGGTTACCTAATTTTCACAAGACTACACAGCTGATGAGTGAGGGAGCCATTTTGGGGGAGTTCTAGTTTGACTTTTCTGATTTCAGTTCCCTAACTGTGTATGTCTCACATTCTTCTGTAACATGGACAGGGAGGGCCTAAGCCACCTCATCCTCTACACTAACCTTACAGTAGAGTGGAGAGGGTACATCCACAGGGCGTGTGAGCCATTTGAGTGTGGAGGATATTTCTCTTCCCCATCTGTGTGTATGGGTATAATTTTAAAAGATTATTTATTTATTTATTTATTATTAGACAGTGTCTCACATAGGTCTTGAACTTCTGATCCTCTTTTGTCTGCCTCTGGAATGTTCAGATTATAGTAGTTTTTAAATCTAAGGAAAAAAAAACAAAATAATTCAGCTTTGCTATCTACTACATAGATAGATGTTCTTTTTTTTTTTTTTTTTAAAGATTTATTTATTTATTATGTATACAGAAGAGGGCGCCAGATCTCATTACAGATGGCTGTGAGCCACCATGTGGGTGCTGGGAATTGAACTCACGACCTCTGGAAGAGCAGTCAGTACTCTTAACCTCTGAGCCATCTCTCCAGCCCTAGATAGATGTTCTTATTCCTATTTTGTCTGGATGGTTTTGAGTCATTTTGGTGTCTTTCAAGACATAACAGTCTTGTGGCTCAGATGGGAGCTATTGCTTCCTGAGTAATATTTTTGTGGGGCCAAGATATGATGGTAATTTTTGTAGGAACATAAATCTTACATAGTAGGGTTTTTCTTTCTTTATTAGAAGATTTTATTTTTTAATTATGTGCGCCTGTATATGGGTATGTGCACATGACGTCAGTGCACTCAAAGTCTGGAAGAGGGTGTTGGATCCTCCAGAGTTGGACTTACAGGGGGTTGAGAGCCATCCAGTATAGGTGCTGTGAACTTAACTTGGGTCCTCTGCAAGAACAGTGTGCTCTTGACCTCTGCATCACCTCTTCAGCACCCCCAGCACCTTCACAGGAGCAGTGGTTTTCAACCTGTGGGTCAAGACCCATTTGGGGGTCACATATCAGATATTTACATTCCGATTCACAACAGCAGCAAAATTAGTTATGAAGTAGCAACACAATGAAATAAGTTTATGGTGGAGGTCGTCACGACACGAGGAACTGCATCAAAGGGGCACAGCATCAGGAAAGTTGGGAACCCTGCATTACGGTCATCTACGAGGAGACTGGTTCATCCGGAAGGGATTGGTTTGATCCAGGGCTATGATAGGTGCTTCTTGTCAGGGTATTAAAATAGTTGTCAAGATCTATAAATAACTTGTGCTTTTACAAAAAGTCAAGCATTAACAGTCTGCTGACTTTGTCAATGATAATAAGGCAGCTGTCAGTGGTACACTACTTTGCAAATACTAAGAAACAATATTTTTAAATTCTGTTCCAATGTAGGCTTGGCATTTTGACAAGTGAGAAAACAACTGCTTTTCAAAAGCTGTTCCAAAGGAATATTTTGAAAAATGATATTTAGAAGTATTTCCATTATGGTATGTTTTCTGTTTTGTTTATTTTTTTAAAAAATGCTATGGTCTCTGTGTGACCCTGGCTGGTCTGAAACTGACTGTGTAGAGTATAAAACAGGCCCCGAACTTGCCACAATCTTCCTGTCTCCACTTCTGTAGTGCTAGGATTATAGTTGAAGTCATTTTTCTCTTTATTTTTCTTTTTATTTTTTGGTTTTTTGAGACAGGGTTTCCCTGTGTAGTTTTGGTGCCTGTCCTGGATCTCTGGCCTTGAGAACTCACATTCACCTGGCTCGGGCTGGGACTAAAGGCGTGCGCCACCACCCGCCTATTTTTTTTTTTTTTTTTTTTGGTAAGTATGTCATCAGGCATGTTGACTCACATCTGTAATCCTGTAATCTGTGACACTTCAAGGTCAGCCTGGGTTTCATACTGAGATCCTGTCTCAAGAACACCCAAAACTTAGCTGGGCGGTGGACTACAGAGTGAGTTTCAGGACGGGCTCCAAAGCTACAAAGAGAAATCCTGTCTCGAAAAACCAAAAAAAAAAAAAACACTCAAAACTCAAAACAACATATATATCATTAATTTCTAAAAGCTCACATATATCTGCATAAAAATAACTTTATGTAACCCTGTACAATGGTGATTTTTCAATGATTACATTCAGAGTTGAGGTGTAACTTTGCATGCTTGAGGTCTTAGGTTGAATCCTCAACACCAGAGCAGGATATGGTGGCTTCTCAGTACCTCTACAAAGATCAGTGTGTCAGTCTTTGAGGTTATGGAAACACTGAGAAGTGAGCCCTAAGGAATGTATGTTAGGCTACTTTCTTTTCCCCCCAGTCAGGTTTCTCTGTGTAGCCCAGATGTCCTGGAACTCTCTCTGTAGACCAGGCTGGCCTTGAACTCAGAGATCTGTTTGTCGTTGCCTCCTGAGTGCTTCGATCAAAGGCATGCATCATTACGCCCTGGCAACTACATATGCATTCTTGAACTCTTTTTTAAAATGATTGTTTGTATACCATGTGTATGGGTGGTGGAGGTGGGGTGCACATGCACACCAGTAGAGATCAGAGGACAATTTAATGGAGTCAGTTTCTCCTGCCAACTTGATGTGGGTTTGAGGTTTGAACTCAGGCTGTCAATCTTTCAAACACCAGGTAGCAAGTGCCTTTACCTGTTGCAATATCTCACCAGCCTGTACTTTATATTCTTTTTTTAAAGATTTGTTTTTAACTGGGCATGGTGGTGCACACCTTTAATCCCAGAACTCAGGAGGCAGAAGCAGGCAGATCTCTGAGTTTGAGGCCAGCCTGTTCTACAGAATGAGTTTCAGGACAGCCAGGGCTACACAGAGAAACTAATTCATTCTCATTCTCCCCGCGCCCCCCAGAGCTGAGGACGGAACCCAGGGCCTTGCACTTGCTAGGCAAGCGTTCCCCAACCCCCGAGAAACCCTATCTCAAAACACAACAACAACAAGATTTATTTTTAGGTCATGTGTATAAGTGCTTTGCCTGCATGCATTGCTTGAGGAGGCCGGAAGAGGGCATCAAGTTTCTTGAAACTGGAGTTAGAGCTGGTTGGTAGCAGCCATGCGGGTGCTGAGAACTGCGTGTGGATCCTCAGCAGCCAGTGCTCTGAACTGCCGAGCCATCTCTACACTCTTAATATAGGCAAATAAATAACGTAGTGCTTCACTTCCTGAAGTCAGTTATTATAAGTAGTTAATTTGACAAATAAAAATTATAGGATACCCCAGCTGAGCTTCAATTTTGGATGAACAATGATGAATTACTTAAAAAGCATACCCCTGATAGTTCCTGGACACACTAATACTAAAACACAACTCCCTATTCATCTGAACTTCATACTTAACTGAATGAGCCGCCCTTTATTCTCCCTGGCAACCCTATTTATAGAAATGGGGATAATCCAGAGAAGCTGAGGGTGTAGTTCAGTGGTAGAGCACTTGCCTAGCATTCACAAGCCCTAGATTCAGTCTCCAGATTTGCCAAAAAGAGGTAATAAAATCTGTCCAGAATAGCAGTAGGCTATAAAGACTAGGTGGTCCAATATCTTTGCTCCAGTTGGTCAATGAACAGTTAGGGAACTTTCCAGCAAAGCCCTAGAATTGAGCTAGCTTGTGACCAGATCCTGAACTATTTTTAGGCTGAGGTTTTTCCAGGGATTGGGGGGAAAGAGAGTCATATTTAAAATAGCGGATTAGAGTATGTACTTAAGAGGGGGGAGAAGAGAGTGTGCCTTACATTGTTGACAGAGTAAAGGCCACCTCAGACACATCATTACTCGGCCTCTCTCCCCTCCCCCAAGCAAATAAGGCAGGAAGGAATGATGGCTTATTAATTCAAAGCAGCCAGAGGGTACTTTTTAAATGTGTAGTTGAGTATGCCAGGCAAAGGAACTGCCTGATGGGAAATAACCTTGCAATGAATAAATAAAACTTTATTGTTGTTTTGAGACAGGGTCTCATGAAGCCCAGGCTGACCTTGAACTCCTGATTATCCTACCGCTACTTCCCAAGTCCTTGGATTACATCCATACACCACTGTGTGCATAGGATAAAACCTTTTCTGTTTTTCGTTTTTTGAAACAGGGTTTCTCTTTGTAGCCTTGGCTGTCCTGGTACTCACTCTGTAGACCAGACTTAGCCTCTAAGATCCGCCAGGCTCTGCCTCCCAAGTGCTGGAACTTGAAAAACAAAAACAAACAAACAAACAAACAAACAAAAATTACATATTTTCCTATTTAAAGGAGTATATTCCATTAGAGTTCTTCTTTTTGGATTTGGTGAGTTTCTCATAAGTTTAGAATGTTATAATATGGACTTTCAAATTAACTATTTGCAAAAGGGCATAATTTTGCTTGATAGGTGAACCTCTTCCATGTTCATCCCATTTTCAAGAATTTCTTTAGTTCATTTTTTCATCAGTGGTTGTATTCAACCACTCTTATGCCATCTCTGGTGCTGAGGATGTAATTCCTGCTAAATTGAAAGGGAAAAACGACACCTGCCTATTTCAAGAGTTAATTACCACTAATGACAGAGGATAGTTTCTTGGAAAAGCACTACATTGAAAAGGGGACTTTCAACTGTACCTGGTAAAATTCCAGTGCACTTACCCAGTTTCCTCACTGAGGTCAACTTGGGGACTCCTGCACTACTGAAAGGCGGCTACTTCTGGCCGGTATTGTGGCTGCTGGCTAACAGCTGTGCATCCTCAGGGCTCCACACTCGAGACCTTCGGCCTTACCACTATGAAATAAGATACAGCTATGTTCCTATAATGTTTCTTGTGGCTTGCAAATGCATCTGGAACCAATGGACACAGGACTTTCTCAATTTAATTTTGGCAATTTTCTTTGCACTTTCTTCTGTGGGGGCGTTGTTAGTGCTAAAGGCTTGAACTCAGGGCTTGAAGCATGCTAAAAAGAGGTGCTCTACCACAGAGCGACAGGCTCAGTCCCTTCTTTTAACCCCTTTCTCTTTTCACCAAGTGTCCTATCAGATTGAACAATTCGGCCTTTTTTTTTTTTTTTTTTTAACCGATGGGTTGGGGGTGGGGCGGGTGAATTAAGAGAACTGAATTGGGGAATAGAAGGGTAGCGATCAATTTTTGGAGGGGGGGGGCAGGTGCACTGACAAACACAGACAACCTTCTAGACGTCCAGTTCCATCCCGGGTTCCCTCATTTGGACAGGGACTGGGCGCCCCAGGGGGGCGGCGAGCCGCTGCCCCTCTGGCAGGGGGAGGAGGAGGTGGAGGAGGGGGGAGCCCGCCGCAGCCCGGCTGCCACTCTGATTGTTACGCGTGTCCAACTTCACAGAGTGCGGCGCGCCTGGGGGTGCACCGGGGCCGCCGTCCAGCGCCAACCGCGGTTCGGGGC